CCAGTCAGTTTAGTGATTGGTTTGACTTGCAATCAATCAATCAATCAATCAATCAATCAATCAATAAATTGGTAGGTACGTAGGTAACCTGCTCTTAACAGCAGAGCTCCGTTCAGGTATAATATGGTGCAGTTTAAAAAGATTTCTGTGCAACCGAAAAGAAAATCTAATGCTATTTTTTTTATTTTTTTTTTTTTATTTAAATCCTTTTTTATTTAAAATCCAGAGCACTCTGACTCTAATCAGATTTTCTCTGTCAGATGTCAGGTTCATGTGTCAGAATAAACCTTGTTTAAAGTGTACATTGTAGAATGTAGACTAAATATACAACTACATTTTTTACCCAGGGGGATCAACTCATAGTTCTCCTGTATATTGACTGATTTTCAGTCAAAATTTCTAGCTCTGTGATACACGTCAGACTGCTGTATCTGATCTCCTGTAGCTTGTAGAAAATGATTTATATCCTACTGCATAACAAAAAACAAAACTTCAGGACACTTACTGACAAGACCACACGCAGATGATGAACGGCTCACTGATACAGACATTTGATCCAGGCATGAACAAAATAGACACTGGCTATTATTTCTCTCATTAATGATGCTGTTGTGTTAATATGGGCCAGAATCAATGTAGAGTTCATTAAATAACTATAAACATTGACATACAAAATCATACAAAATGCAACATTAACATGACACCAGCGGCAGTGTCTGACCACATTATCTTCGCACCCTAACTGTTAAAATGAGGGCATGAACAACACATTCAATTTATAACAATTTAAACATTGTAAATAATTAAATTAACAAATAAACATTAACAAAAAAGCTTCATCCATTATCTGGATTCGGATTCAGGATTTGTTGTTCATGATGATGTTAATTTGTCACATCTTATACCTTTATTTAAAATGTTGCAATTTATGCAAACACATAAAAATGAAAGACCAGTTTTCTGTTTTTCCTACAGATTTTCCCAAATCAGAAAAGCTAAATATTTATCAGTGGGTCGACGGAACTGCTTCTCAGAAAGAAACTTGTTTTTCATTGTAATGAAACTGAAGATAGAGGAGATGATATTGTTTGGTATTAAGATTACAGTCGTCTTTTTAATTTTGAATATTCAATAATTATGAGTAATGTGGGCCAAGAATGCAGTTATTTCTGAGCTTACAGATAATTCTAATAAAGCAGTTCATATATTCTATCAGATGTATGAATTCAGTGTGGAGTTTTTGTTTGATCTGATGTTGGCATCTGTCATGTTATTTTCCCTTTTCACCAACTATTACTATTGTACTTTGGGCAAATTATGACCAGAAAGTAGAAAGTTTCAGAATATTGATAAATTTGAAACAAAACTTTGATACGTAAAATGTCTGTTTGTTGAATATTGATGATTCTGTACTATTTCTAGGTCACTTTTTTAAATGGAAGCAAATTTGACACTGACCTTGTTCAGGCCTTTGTACAAAAAGGGCAGATTTTTCAGTCTTATTTCTTCCTTTAAAGCTTGTGTTCCGACGACTCTCAGGTGCACTTGATCTACTCACCAGAGGCTTTTGCACAAGCTTGTGGAGTTCACTGCCAGCTTTAGCGTACGCTGTAGTTAAAGCAAAAGGAGGACAAACCACATACTGAGAAATTCTGTAATTCATGTACACATTCAAATATTCTACTTTTCAATCAAATTTAATTTGGAATGATAAACCTTGTGACCTTGTAGGCTAGAAGCACTTTCAATAGCAGTCTCAGATATATATTTATCCACACTACCTCAACTGTATATAATCATTTTGAACATTTACTGTTTATAATTAACATGTACGATTTGTACTCTTAAGTTTCTTGGTATTTATCTTTTAATTTGATCTGTCAATTTATTATATGATTCTAAATTAATACTTATAATTTCTTGTGTTACTGTTAATCTTTATCATTTATCTTTATCAGTGTATATAATTTCTGAGTATAATTGTCAATAAATCTGCCTCTTTGCACTTTAGGACTACTATTAAGCACTTTCTGGAAGATGCCAAACTGTATTTTGTATCTACAGTATTAATATTAATGTCTGGTGTATCTAATTAGGCTGCTCTCCATGCTGTTACACTCACATACACTTGGAGTTGGGCGATATGGCCAAAAATGTTATCACGATAAACAAAATTCATATCGTTCGATATTGATACATATCGCGATAAATGTCAAATCATTATTTCTTCAAGTTTGAAGGCTGATTTTTACTCCTGGGTGGTTAATTCCTGTTTTAAACTATCCTTTATGGTGGGAACACGACAAACACTCGGCAAACAGTGGGACGTTTCACAAATCTGTCATGGGACAGTGGGAGAAAGTGTCTGGTCAGCTGTTTTTATCAGCTGGAAAAGCACGGCCGCAGTTTTTGTAATAGTCATAATTTAAGAAAGAAAACAGATCATTTTTAGCTGGTGACGAGCTAAACAAGTGGCCAACAACAGTGCTAAACTGTTTAGTTTCTCAACAATGACTGCCGTTTAAACTACACTTTATTAAGGTTCAAAATGAAAGTTGAAAAGACGTCTAAACTTAGCCGTTGAAAAAATGACCAAAATAGTCACATTAAAGACGTCGTTTTAAGGCCGTTAATTTAACATTGAAATCACGTACATAACTGCTGTTTAATTTACATTTTCTTATGGTTGAAAATGAAAGTTGAAAAGACATCCAGGCTTAACAGTTGAAAAGATGACCAAAAAAGTCACAGTAAAAACGTCATTTTAAGGTGTTCTAAGGCCTTGGAAAAAATATTAAATAATTAAATAAACTGAAATATACTACCAGAGTCTGAAGTATACTACCAGAGTTTAAAGGCATTGAAAATTAATCCAAAATTAATTTCCACTAGCACACTCTCAAAAACGATAGCACTTTACCATGAATCCTATATAGAACCATTTTATGCTTAATACACTGTACAATAGTAGAACCTTTTTGGTGCTATATAGAATCAATTTTTCTATATAGAACCATATACAACACATTATCTGTCAATGTGAAGAACCTTTGCACCATGCAGAAAATCTTCCTGTAGTTAACTAACAATTTTGATTCCAATGTAAACATAAAACAAACTTTGTTAAATGGAAACTTTATTGAAAACATGTAGTTATTCTTAATTTCATTTGTGGAACTTAAAACTGGACCATGAACTTCATCAGGACTATGACAAAGATCCTATGCATCAATTCAGAAAGAATTTTCACCTTTGAACCATAAGCTGTGTCAGTACTGTATAAGATTTTCAACGTTTTAATGTAAAAGAAATCAAGGTAATTATTTAACAAGATAAAATCTCGTTCATTTTAGTTTCTGAGAAGTCAAATAAGAAAAGAAAAAAAAACAAAGTTAAAAGCTCTGCAGGGGGCATGCTTGAGGTGATCGGCCATGGCAGCATCCATCTCATGAGCTGTGGCTTTGTTGTTCCATTTCAGAACTGCAGCTAATATAAAATACAAACAAGACTGTTACAATTAATGTACACAAAGCATTAAAATCTCCTGGCAAAAACAGAGAGATCTGTGGAAGCCATTCTAACGTCATACTTATTACTTATTTCATCTTACTTATCAATTAATAATCAATGCCACAAGGCCTTGACAGCTTTTAATTCACATATATTTATACCTTTCAGATCTGAAATATGATCCCATATAATATAATTCATATTTTCCTGTCTGAAACGTAGCCAATAAGGTGTCATCTGATAATTACAAATCTTTTTTTTAGTTATTTTTTAAATGTTTATTTCAGTGGACTTCTGCGAAGGAGTGCTATCGTGATATGTTCTTTTAAATGCAAAGGGCTTGAGCTTGTCTCTAATTTTATATACTGTCTCTAATTTTATATATTCTCCTAAGACCCATGAGATTTCTAAACTCTATACTAGACTGCTGGGAACTAAAGGCCTCTCTCTTATTTTGGTCAGTGTTTATTTGTTAAAGGAATAAAGCACAGTCCCAAGAACGAAAGGGTAGTAAATAGTACAGAATGCAGCTATATAACATAGGAAGCATCACAGAAAAGCTCAGTATTATCATTTGACTCTTTTTAAAATGACTTACAAATTCCAATATCAAATTTGACTGAAATGACTACAATTAATGATTCTGCTTCTTCAATTTGGTACTGGCGTTATGTGTAACGTTGCTCAAACACTAGAAGACAATATTAACCCAGATGTTTTTCCATTAATACATTCCTAAAACTTTTCTCAACCCTCTCAAACCTCATCTAGGTCTCCATTAGAGTCAGCAGACTTGTCAGTGTAGTGTAGGACACAGAATGACTTACTTTGAACTATAGAAATTAACAAAACTTCACCACTACGGCCATTTCAGGCAACACAAAGGCTGCACAGGACTGATGTTGGATCAGTAATTATATGTAATTTCCATAAAAAACAATTCGAGATAAGCAATCCTACTCCTGAGACAGAGAGGTCACCTGCAGCATTTACTCTGTGATGACATTTTGGTCACTTTTATAGCCCATACTGTCATACTGTGTTCTAAACCACACTGAGAAGTCTGTACAACCTTAATGAAGACACAGATGTGGTTTGAAAGGGTTGAAAGATGTTTTCAGGAAGTATTTACAGAAATGATTTAGGTGAATATTGACTTCTAGTGTTTGTTAGAAACGTTAGCTTCACAGCTCCATTGCTAAAGACACAAACTTTGGACACCAATTATGTCTTGGCTAAAAGACTACATTGGGGGTAAGCAGAAAATTGTTTAAATTTTATATTTTGCTGAACCATTCCTTTAAATAGGTTCTTAGTCATAAAATGAGTATGGCAACTGATAACCAGGAAAACTGTACATAAATTGTTAACACATTATGTTTTGTTGTGTTTGCGATATTACTTACTTTTTTAACTTGTGTGCATTATTTGACCACTGCCAGTAAGTTGTTGTGGCACACAGACAAATCCAGTCAGCTTCTGAAACAAATGTTTGTCTGCAAAGGACGATACAGCTACAGTCAATTCAGTAACATATCTCATAGAACATTTCATTGTCTAATAAAAACTCACTAATGATTTCAACGTGTGTAGCCAAAGCTAAAGAACAAAGTATTAGGATGACGCCCCATTTTCCCCTGCCTACCAACATCCAGAAACACAGCTGTAGCTTGGGCAGCTGTATGAAAAAAAAGCAAGCTAGCGTTAGCTACTCAGTTTACCTAGCTGCATGAGCTAGCTACTTTCAAATATTGTAAATAATCATGAATTGTGGTACTTCGTTTCAAAGTAAAAATATGCTCCTGGCAGTTTTAAAATGAGCCTCGAGCTATTCATGCATGTGACTACAAGCTTAGGTAAATATAGCTAATGTAGCTCAATACAGCTAACGGCTAACTTTTACAAATGAGCCCGCTAAAAAATCCAAGATGAACACCGACGCAGACATTACTATAAGTGCTAAATACACAATACACAGCTACTATTCATGTTAGCGTTTTACTAGAATGATTATGTGGTGTTTCTAAGAAGTTATTAGCAAATACGTGTACGGGGCAACAACAGAAACAGCTGATGTCAGAAAACGTGTGTTGTCGTGATGAACCAACAGCATTAGCTAGCGAGCTTAGCTTTTATCAGGACCTTCACCATCAATCACACTAAATTGAGGGAATAAACCGTTACCTTCGTTAATAAGGTTTTAATTCGCTATATTCAGCAAATACAGACAAATCTTTAAATCTGCGTTAATGCCGTGCAGCACCAACCGCTATGTTTCCCGTAGTTAGCGCGACTGTTCAGCACTAGCTAACCTTAGCAAGGCGGCTTCTACAGCTGTATTAAATGCTAACTAGCTGGCTAGCTAGCTAATATATACCCTCTATTTATAAATAAATGATAATACTAATATTTAAAGATTCGTTCTAAGCTGACTGACTAGTATGTGACAAAAGGTCCACCTAAAACGGCCAGCTAACGTTTACTCCCCTGGACCAATGTGGACAGTAGCGCTGTGTGCTGTGGACAGCTCGCTGAAGACTTTCTCAAACAAGAACTTCCCAAAGGGGCAGTGATTGGTGTCCGTTCAGATGGACATCGCGGCTTCTTTAACCCGCTTGATACACCCAACAAACCCACAGCACTTGAATGACAGGACTGCCTTGCGGACAGTGGAAATGCAGTTGCAAACAGGATTGCAAATACATTTTCATTTTGGCAGAGGTGGAGTGCCACAATGACGAAATACAGTAAAAATTGACAAAAATTGACAAAAAATTTTTTTATGTCAGAGTCAGACCATATTAAGATAATGAAACACTGCTTTTCTGTATTAAAAGTTTCCAGCTATTATACACTGAAATTAAAACGCAAATAAAGTTGCATTCAAATTCGAATCGTGTCTTAAATAATGCACACTGCTATGAGATATGCAATTGTAAATACACCATTTAGCACTTGCATTTAAATTTGAAAAAAGTCCAGAAAATATAGAAAAGCTGATGGCACCATGTGAAATAATGACAACCACACTCCATGTGACGTCATATGGCATGTTCTTTAACACCATAAAGACAAAATAAATATTATCAAGCTTCAGCAATCAACATCTAACATAACATTAAGCCAAAACTATCTATATGTAACATTTGGTATCTTTGAGAAAAGCTGCTAAAAACAGCCTGGAAAGCTAGCGCTCTCCCACTAGCTCCCTCCAATGCCTCACAGCTTCCTCAGTTCACTTTCGTTTAGGTCAGGGCTGTAACTAACATGAACCCACTTCTTTCTTTCACTTCCGTTGCTTGGGAATGCACTAATACTAAAATACGACTTTCTGAGTGCTGTAACAGCGCTTTCGTTTTGATGAGCAGACGTGATTTAATGCTGCTAAAGCTTGTTAGGATCTATGGAAAGAGGTGAGTTTACTGTAGGACAGTATAGTTACACCACTGACCTCGTCACTCACACTCGGTCACAGGAGAGCAGATCGCCGGTCGCTCCACTCAAACAGGGAATGTATAACTCCGCGTTTCAGCCGTTGCTAAAGACTCATTTCACTCGTCGCCCCTCCCTCTCTAATCATGTCGAAAAACTCGGAAGTGCGCCCTCTCCTAGCGACAGCAGAGTAGTGTCGCTTTCCATGCGGTAGAAATTCCACCAGGGCTGTCGCTAGAACGTGGAAGTGTGAGAACAGTGTATTATATCGAAAATGTGTCGAACCTTTCTTATCGCTCTATCAAGGAAAAGTAATATCGCGATAATTATCGTTATCGTTTTATCGCCCAGCCCTACATACACTCATCACCTAACGTGGAAAAAATAAAACACTACTTCTGTTCTTCCTGCAGATTCTACTGATATATTTGATAAAAATATTCATGCAATCAACAGAACTGCTTCTCAGGGAGAGACAGTGGTTTTTCACTGTAGTGAAAGTCAAGATAAAGGAGCTGATGTCGGATGGCGTAAGGAGAAGATTCTTCTTTTTATCTACAGCCCTGTTATTAACCAAACTGTGACAAACTACACATCAAGCAGAATGTATGTTGATCCAAACAATCCATGGAAACTACAGATATCTGATGTACAGCCTTCAGATGCAGGAAACTATACATGTTTCCCATCAGAAACACAAAAACAATGGAAATTGAGCGTAGAAGGTAATTATTTTTTGTTTGATTGATTGATTTTATCTTTATCTTTTGGTATAGTATTTTTTTTTCTCTGATTCTGTTTCCAGTCACTGAGAGTGAACCAGATCTGCACAGAGAAATGTTTCTGTACATCATCCCCTCAGTTACAGGAGCTGCTGCAGTGTGCTTTATTATCTTCTGTGCTGTGATGATCTACAGGTGAGTGACCAGCGCAACAGATCCAGAGAAACTGCTTAATGAGCACAGAGGCTCTTATATTTTCTTATTCTCACATATTCGAATTCTGTGTCAGGTGTTTGTTTGCTATATGTCTGGAGGGGAAGACACTTAGTTTTGCTTTGTTACTCTGTTTGCAAGATTTGACTTCTGAAATCTCAGAAACCAGGAAATTTCTCTCTTTTTTCTCTTACTAATTAAAGTCTGGCATATTTCATTCATTCAAATTTATATCAGTGTAAAATTAAACTGCCCATATCTTTGCTAATTCATACTGGCAGGAAGTGTTGGGGTACTAAAATTTTAAGTAGTGTATGCATGACATGAATGATGTCATGTGAAATTATTTGCCTTTTTTCCCATCTGAATTTTTTTCATACCTTCATCAAACAGAATGTGTCATACTGTGCTATAATGAGGCAATAGACAACAATGCTGCAAGTTCATTCTTGGGATCAGTTTATGAGCTGCTGTGTGTTTATAATGTTTATGTGGGTTGAACTGCAGCTGAAACACAGCTAGTGTGTTTGGCGATATGACTGGTGTGGAATTGTGGTGTAACCACTGTCCTATACACTGTTGTTGGGGGAGGGGGTGGGAGCGCACGTGACATTTTAGTGCATGCTGAAGACTGTAATGCAGTACATTGTGAAACGGGTTAATATAAATAGAAAATCATATAAGGTTGTGCCGCAGGCCACATCAGGACCTTGTGTTTGTCACGTTTACATTTATGGCATTTGGCAGATGCTCTTATCCAGCGCAACTTACTTACTGTGATCATTTTACACAGGTAGACAAAGGTAGTGTTAGGAGTCTTGCCCAAGGACTCTTACTGGTATAGTGTAGGATTGAACCCCACTTTACAGCATAGAAGGCAGATGTGTTACCCCCTACACCATACCGACCTTAGTGAGGCAACCTTAGAGACTTGACGGAAACACGAGACTCTCATATGTTCTGAAATAATATTTACAAATGCAATGACATTATTTAAACTCTCAGAATCAGAAAACTGTTTTACTAAAGATTTTCCCTCGCAGGTCGAAAATATGACGTTTGTATTGTTTGGGAACAAAAGGAGGAAGCAGCTTGTGACTTGGGGAGCCCAACTAACACATTTTGGTTCTTTACAAATAATTTTCAAAAATATCTGTAAGATTAGTATCTTATGAGTATGTTTATTAAAGCAACCTACACATCACTGCTACAAACTGAAAATCTAAGCTTTGTTTCCAGCTCCACCTTTCTGAAAGTGACCTGAGTGCAAATACAGCTCACCCCAACTGCAACCTGATTCAAACACAGTTCATTAATAAAGTACATAAACATATGTTCATCAAAACAAATAGGATTAGTCAAAAAAGACAGTAATGTTTCGCATGAACATGGGAACATGGACTGTTTATTGATTCTTATTGATTACTAAGTCTACTAAGAGCTGAGTTGATATTTTAATTGGTTATAAAACAACACTAGGAATGATATTTCACTTTAGTTATTTTATGCTAATAGTAATATGTTTTTAAATGAAACATGCTCAAGTATGAAATATTATTATTGTCATTGTTATTATTATTATCATTATTATTATAGTTATTATTATTATTTCATATAATTCTTTTTATGCAGTATACTTAAAAAGGCATTTTAGCAAATATATAACAACAGCTTATACAAAGAAAAGAAAGAGAGAAAGAAAACCACTGGACTCATGAACGCTAAAGGACTCTATTCTCTACTGAAGGACTCTATTCTCTGTTGAAACAAATGTCTTAATAATTAGTTTACTTTTATAACTGTAGGCCAATCGTCTCAAAAGACTTTAAAACATTTCCTGTAATTACATGTTTTTTTGTACATGTTCCTTAATTTTGTATGTTAAACAATGTATATTTATGTAATATTGACTTTCTTCAAGCATATTTTGGCTGCTTATTTCCATGCTTATTGGTCATTTATTTATTGAGGAAAACAATTCAATATTATATATCTGTGAATGGCAAAAGTATGTGAACCTTTGCTTTGAATAACTGGTGTGACCCCCTTGTGCAGCAATCACTGCAGCTAAACATTTCTGGTAAATGTTAATTAGTACTACACGTTGGCTTGGTGGAACTTTAGCCTATTCCTCCGTACAAAGCAGCTTCAACTCGGTTATATTGGTGAGTTCCTCCCATGAACTGCTGCTTCAGGTCCTTCCACAACATTTCTGTAGGATTAAGGTCAGGACTTTGACTTGGCCATTCCAAAACTCTATTCTTCTTTATTCTATTCTATTCTTTGGTAGAACAACTTGTGTGCTTAGGGTTGTTGTCTTGTTGCATGACCTAAGTTCTGTTGAGTTTCACCTCACGGACAGATGTCCTGACATTTTCCTTCAGAATTTTAAGTTTGGCCATGTGGGAGCATTGACAGTTTGTGCCACAGAATGTTTTGAGTTCATTTGAAACTGGTCTCATCCAGTCCCAATTTAGATCCCCCATCAAAATGAGCTCTTTAGGAGGCAAATCAGCTAAAACAGACAAAAGTGAAGATAAAACCTCCCTACTAGCTGAGGGTGGTCTATAACAACCAACAAGTTCAGATGGCAATCTTTTCCAAATTCTAAATGAATAGCTAAAAACTCGAATTGTTTGGGAATAGACAATGATTTTATAACAGCTGCACGAAATTTTGACTTTATGTAAATTGCTATGCCACCTCTCTTGCTTTTTCGATTACTTTATACCCATAGATTGAAATATCATTATCTGAAATTGACTTCATCCAGGTCAATTTCACAGTTTCACAGATGGGATAAGGTTTTAATGCTGGAATGCAGTGTTTTCCTTTCTCAAAACATAACGCTTCTCATTTAAATCAAAAAGATCTATTTTGGTCTCATCCTTCCACAAAACATTGTTCCAGTAGCCTTCTGGCTAGCCCGTGTGATCTTTAGCAAACTGCAGATGGACAGCAATGTTCTTTTTGGAGAGCTGCAGCTTTCTTCTTGCAACCCTTCCTTGTACACCATTGTTGTTCAGTGTTCTCCTGATGGTGGACTAATGAACATTAAAATTAGCCACTGTGAGACAGGCCTTGGAAACTCTCACCTCTTCAGTTCCATTAGGCTTGGTATGCAAGTTGCTCAATTTATTGGGTACACCTACATTTAAAATTAGCTATATTTTAACGATGTACCTTAAGAGTTAAATTTGATCACACAGGGTGCGTTTTATCTAAGTGCTCCACTTGTGAACCAAACAGCTTTCAATATCTACAATCTTCTTTTTATTTCAATGCAGGGGTAACTGAAACAGTGCCACAGTCCTACCAAAACTGGAGTCTGGCTTTGCTGAAATCATAATGAATGAATTTATATTAATATTGGCAGTCTTTTATTCTGAAATATTTCTTGTTCTCAGGCTGCTCTTTTTGCAAGACCAAAAACTTTCCTACCAGTAATAATGATGCCTGATTGATGCTTTCAACTGTAATAGATGGAGGCTTGTTTGGGCAATTTATGTTACACTGCAAAAGATTCATACAGCTAATGATTTCTGTTACAGGAAATTGAAAAAGAAATGGGCTGCTGACGTCAGTGGAACAAAGGATGAGCATGTGAGTTCTTTCTTTGTGTATATACTTACATATCATTAATAAGTAATTAAAAGCTACTACTACAGACATTGCTAGTGGCATTAAACAAACATAAAACTTACTCTGTTACAGGTAAATGTAGACAAATGTTTCTAATATCATAGTTGTACTATAACCTTATATGTTTCAACTACAGTAGAAAGCTGTAATAGATTAATAAAAGGTTAGATATGTCCAGAACGATGAACAGAGCTGTAGGTGATTTTCAAAGGATTGTGAAACAATATATGTATAACATTATGAACTGAAGTTTTGAATACAATTATAGCAGTTATCGATATGAAGTGATTCCAGACTGTGTGATAGTGTGTATGTCCAAAAGTATCCAGACAAAAGTATTCATAAGAGCCTGTGACTGACAGGGGCTCTATCTTTTTTCAATATTAGATTATTAGCCTGTCATCATTAATAGAATATTTTATTTACAATGTACTTATAAATGCAATAATGTGTTTTTTTTTCCTTTTCTTGTTTTTGGCCAAAATTTAACATCCAGAGAGCCTCTGTATTTCCCAGCCCCAATTAACATTAAATGGTTCAGTCCTGCCCCCCAAACCACATGCGAATAATACTCGCTATCTGTGAATTGTAAGTGAGAAGTGCCAGTGGAGCATCATATCCCAGCTTCCTAAAGAACAATCTGGCTTCCAAAAATGAAAGGAAAGAAAAAGAAGACAGTATGTCACTCACTTTTTCACAAAGGTAGGTGTAGTCTGTGAGTGGTGGAAATTAACTTGTTAGCTTAGTCTGTAGTGAAATAGGCTTCTATACTTCTATGCATGTGCTCCCTTTTGAACATCTTCAAAGAAAATTCTGAGTATTTGTATTGGACTCCTCTTTTAGGATAACCTTTAGGAAACTGTTCATACTATCAGTTGTACTTGCCCCTGCATGGTGCTAGGCCCAACAGATACAGCTTCCATCTCCATCCCCCTACCAATGAACCAGCCCTGTCTTCTCATCTCCATACCCCTATCAATGAACCAGCCCTGTCTCCCCGTCCCCATACCCCTACCAATGAACCAGCCCTGTCTCCTCGTCCCCATACCACTACCAATGAACCAGGCCTGTCTCCCCATCCTCATACCCCTACCAATGAACCAGCCCGGTCTCCTCATCTCCATACCCCTACCAATGAACCAGCCCTGTCTCCTTGTCCCCATACCACTACCAATGAACCAGGCCTGTCTCCCCATCCTCATACCCCTACCAATGAACCAGCCCGGTCTCCTCATCTCCATACCCCTACCAATGAACCAGCCCTGTCTCCTCATCTCCATACCAGTACCAATGAACCAGCCCTGTCTCCTCATCTCCATACCCCTACCAATGAACCAACCCTGTCTCCCCATCCCCATACCACTACCAATGAACCAACCCTGTCTCCCCATCCCCATACCACTACCAATGAATCAGGCCTGTCTCCCCATCCTCATACCCCTACCAATTGAACCAGGCCTGTCTCCCCATCCCCATACCACTACCAATGAACCAATGATCTGCCCATCAACATCCCCCTACCAATGAACCAGCCCTGTCTCCCCGTCCCCATACCACTACCAATGAACCAGGCCTGTCTTCCCATCCTCATACCCCTACCAATGAACCAGCCCTGTCTCCCCGTCCCCATACTACTACCAATGAACCAGGCCTGTCTCCCCATACCACTACCAATGAACCAGGCCTGTCTTCCCATCCCCATACCACAACCAATGAACCAGTCCTGTCTCTCTGTCCCCATACCACTACCAATGAACCAGTCCTGTCTCCCCATACTCTTACCAATGAACCAGTCCTGTGTCCCCACACTCCTACCAATGAACCAGTCCTGTGTCCCCATACTCCTATCAATGAACCAGTCCTGTCTCCCCATACTCCTACCAATGAACCAGTCCTGTGTCCCCATACTCCTACCAATGAACCAGTCCTGTGTCCCCATTCTCCTACCAATGAACCAGTCCTGTCTCCCCATACTCTTACCAATGAACCAGTACTGTGTCCCCATACTCCTACCAATGAACCAGTCCTGTCTCCCCTTACTCCTACCAATGAACCAGCCCTGTCTCCCCATCCCCATACTCATACCAACAAACCAGCCCTGTCTTCACATACCCCTACCAATGAACTGCCATTGTCTCCAAGCTAAGAGAAGTGAGGAGTATTTTGTTGGATGACATGTCAGCTGCCATAATTGCAGAGGGTTTGTAGGAATTTCTTTTTTCATTATTAGAATTTTTTTTTTAATTTTGAAGCCTCAGACTGTTGTTTAAATTAGCCAGCTGGCTGTCAACTAAGAAGCCAAGCTAGCGCTAAGCTTTTACACTGCTGTTGTCAAACATTGTAAGTGTTTTGTTCATCATAATAGCTTTGTTATTTAATAATTTACCACAGTTATTTGTTTGTCTTGAACATTTTGGCAGAATTATGAGAATTACTTGGGCCCAATGTGATATCATTACCCCTACCAATGAACCAGCCCTGTTTCTCTGTCCCCATACCACTATCAATGAACCAGGCCTGTCTTCCCATCCCCATACCCCTACCAATGAACCAACCCTTTCTCCCCATCCCCATACCACTACCAATGAACCAGGCCTGTCTCCCATCCTCATACCCCTACTAATGAACCAGCCCGGTCTCCTCATCTTCATACCCCTACCAATGAACCAGCCCTGTCTCCTCATCTCCATACCCCTACCAATGAACCAACCCTGTCTCCCCATCCCCATATCACTACCAATGAACCAGTCCTGTCTCCCCATTCTCATACCCCTACCAATGAACCAACCATCTGCCCATCCCTATCCCCCTACCAATGAACCAGCCCTGTCTCCTCGTCCCCATACCACTACCAATGAACCAAGCTTGTCTTCCCATCCCCATACCACTACCAATGAACCAAGCTTGTCTTCCCATCCCCATACCACTACCAATGAACAAGCCCTGTCTCCTCATACCACTATCAGTGAACAAGCCTTGTCTCCCAATACCACTACCAATGAACCGGTAAGTGTTTTGTTCATCATAATAGCTTTGTTATTTAATAATTTACCACAGTTATGTGTTTGTCTTGAACATTTTGGCAGAATTATGAGAATTACTTGGGCCCAATGTGATATCATTTATCATAATGGGGACCACTCATGGACTACACCCACCTTTATTTTGACAAACTGAATGACAAACTGTCATCCTTTTCTTCTCTGTCTCCTGTCTTTCTTTTCTTTCTTTTCATTTTTGAAGGCCAGATTTTTCTTGAGAAAGCTGAGACTCAAACAATGTTACGTGGACAGATAAGATGAAAGTTGAACATGTGGTAAAAGTACAAAATTAAACAGCAGACTGTCGAAGCAATGTGAAAATCCCTCCTAACTGCATCACAGGACTGACCAGCACTCACAGAAAGTGTTTCATTCAGATTATTACCAATAAGCGATATTTTACTAGTTACGCTAAGACATTTGTTCAGTACATACATGGTACTGTTAATCCCCAAATCTCCCAAACTTACATAGTGTCATTTTATGTTTGCTCTGTGAGTTGCCAGTTCATTAGACACATTTACCTCACTGAGCATTTGGGTTGTGGATCATTCTCAACATCATAGTTACATACTAGCATGTGTTGTCAGGTTTTTACATGCTGTATGCACTTACTGGCAACATCTTGCATATGTGAAGCATATGTGAAGTCACAGTTTTGAGTTTCTGACCACAGAACCACACTTGGGTTTTTTGGATATTTTTGGATGGCATGACAAACAAAAAAATCAAAGTGCATAACGTTAACATGACACTACAGGGACAGTGTCCCTTCTGTGTTGAGAATGATCCACCACCCACAAGGTCAGTGAGGTAGCTGTATCTAATAAACTTGTAGTTGGAGCCTAAGGGGACTTAAGAAATGGTAAGGTCCAAGATGGAGATTTGGGAAATGTATACATTCTAGAAAAAATACAAGATAAACAGTGACTAATAATGGAAATATATGAAAAATAATTAAAACTAAGAATAATAATTCTAATAATACACAAACCACTCCACCAAACTGAATAATCATACAATTATATACATGGACACATTTGATCACTGCACCAACAATATGATTAGAAACAGTACTAATTTACTGCCAAAGAAATTTGGATTATATTACTGAATGATTTTTGTTAGTATTCTAAAATCCACTGTGAAGTTTTCATAAGCTCTACAGGCAAATCCACCACATGTTGATGTAGTTTTAATGAAAGATGCCAAATATTTATAGTAAAATGCCACTAGACAATTTCATCTTCATCTAAGATGCAATGAACATGTTTTCTCTTTTATCTAATCAGTCTGTGCTGTCAAGTAGAGGTACTTCAGAATTTTGACCTTCACACAGACACACTGACTTCCTGTTTATGTTTCTCACCTAAATCAACATGCATCCACACACACACACACACATACACACACACACTCACACTCTATGTTGAGGTCAAAATGAGCTGTTTTCCTTTTTCCTACATACTAATATGTCCGCCCCTGTCTGTTTCACAGATCTACATGAACACAAGGTTAAAAAAAGATGCCAAACACAACTACAGAGTTGCCTCTTGAGAGCTTTACCAGCATCTACAGCTGCTTTAACTCTTTTAGTCTGTTACTACCCAACACTACCTCTAATAACATTCAGTGTACAAATTAAGTCACATCTCACTGCCACCAGCTCTGTTTGCTGCTAGCTGTCCGTTGAGTGCAGCAGGAAGCCATAGGTGTGTGGGCTGAGTGTTTCTGATCAGTGTGGGTCTCACTAAAACCACAATAGTTTCTATACCAACAGTGGTAGTGAGAATAAAGACCTTTTTAATGTATGTACTAGTGTATAGTGTTTCTCCTTCCATAGGACTGCTGTTATGTGTCTTTTGTTCCATTGCTCTATATTAGATTAATCATTTTTATACAATTACTTCTCAATCATTAGTTTGGACATCACTCACAGTCTCTCACTCTTACATTCTACCTGTGCAATTAATACCTGTTTTATTAACTACCATAAATATGAAATATGCAATAAATGTTTCTGTTACTAGTATTAAAGGGCACATACTATGGAGAACTGAATTTTCCTCACTTTGGAAACTAAGCCTGTTTTACACTGATTTAATCAGTTCCATGATGTCACAAAAACCAATGCATTTACACAGTATATCCACCTTTCCATCCACGCTGAGGTTATAAAGAGTGTTTTAGTCTGGACTGGTTTTTTAACCAAGCACAATACAGAGCAGCCAATCAGAACAGAGATAATTTACATAGATCAGTCTTAAAGGCACAGTAACAGAAACAGCTTGTTTAATTCTAAGTAACAGAAAGAGGATGAAAAATGGTCATTTAAAAATTAAAACAGCACAAATGAGAAAGTGGATATCAGGGGAAAAGTATAATATAAGTAAAATGTAGGATATGGGCCCTTTAATGCTTTAAATTGTTCTTGGCACTATATACAGGCCTGCAGGGAGTTATTGTACATGTAATGAAATAAAAGTAAAAAAAAATTAAAATTTCGTATTGTAAACGTGGAGTGCAGCTCCAACTCTGGGCTTTTCTTGCCACCTGGTGGCCAGAAATGGTGTGGCTTTGATGCCAAAAGTTTCTAAATGGAAGAATAGTTTTAGGGAAAAAACAACTTTAGTTAGCATAGAACCTTTATTTTATTTCTTCAGAAAAAAATGGTTCTTCTGTGGTGTCGTCCCAAAGAACTCTTTTTAGCAAGAGTCTACCAAATTGTGAGTTTCTCTCTCACAGATGACTTTCTTTAGTAGGAAGTGCAGGAAGGACCACTAATTTATGAATATATAATTCACTGGCATTTAGCAAATACATTTTTTGGGGGGCTAAAATTTGGTGTATCTGAACAGGTCACAGTAGTAATATAAAGTATGATAGTCTTTATAGTTTAATTTATAAAAATAAAAATTTAAAATAAAAAAAAACAGGAAAGTGAACATACTGAGATCAATCAGTCATTGTGTAATAGTGTAATCAGTTACTATACTGTGAAAAAGTTTTTGGCACCTAAGAAAATTAGATTTAAAAAGCTGTTTATGTGATCAGTAAGTAAATATTTACCTGAATAAATTAAAGAGATTTATCCTAGGCTTTCTACGTAAACAATCTTAATAAAAACATCATAACAAATTATTCACTATGCTATGTTACTGTTACTAGTATTAAGGGGCCCGTATCATGGATTAAATTTTCCTTTCCTTTCTTTCTTTTATGAAAAAGTTTGATGCAGTGTGCGAACATTGTTAAAGTTTCAAAACATCTCCATTACAAACAGTCCATTTATGTAATGAAGCTGCAAAAACAGGCTGTTTATATCTCACAGTTTTTGTGAGGGGAATGAAATAAATATATATATATACACATACACTGTTCAGGCACAACATTATGACCACCTCCTTGTTTATATGCTCATTGTCCATTTTATCAGCTCCACTTACTATATAGGTGCACTTTGTAGTTTTACAATTACAGACTGTAGTCCATCTGTTTCTCTGCATACTTTGTTAGCCCCCTTTTACCCTGCTCTTCAGTGGTCAGGACACAGCAGTTCTGCTGGAGGTTTTAAAAACTGTGTCCACTCATTGTCCACTCTATTAGACACTCCTACCTTGTCAGTCCACCTTGTAGATGTAAAGTCAGAGACGGTAGCTCATCTGCTGCTGCACAGTTTGTGTTGGTCATCCTCTAGTCCTTCATCAGTGGTCACAGGACGCTGGTCACAGGACGCTGTCCACAGGACGCTGTTAGCTGGATGTTTTTGGTTGGTGGGCTTCTCTCAGTCCAGCAGTGACACTGAGGTGTTTAAAAACTCCAGCAGCACTGCTGTGTCTGATCCCCTCATACCAGCGCAACACACACTAACACATCACCACCACGTCAGTGTTGCTGCAGTGCTGAGAATGATCCACCACCGAAATAGTACCTGCTCTGTGAGGGTCTATGGGGGTTCTGACCACTGAAGAACAGGGTAAAAAGGGGCTGACAAAGTATGCAGAGAAACAGATGGACTACAGTCTGTAATTGCAGAACTACAAAGTGCACCTATATAGTAAGTAAGATAAAATACAAGAAAAAAATTTGATATGGTACATTCCGGTACCTCTTTTTCTGAGTGTAAGACATATAACAGTCTAAGGAGCTGTATCGTTGTTTTATCTGGCAATAATTCTAATCCTATCTTCAGGGGAAAATTTGTATTGTTATTTACACTTTGTGAGAGATATTTACAAGTGTGTAAGAGATAGCGAAGCTCCCAAAGGGCTACTATACATCACCTTGTATATTACAAAATATGAAATGGAATCAAATCAAAATGCCTGCCACATAATGGACTTTGAAAACAACTTCAAAAATATGCTTAATTGTTTAGCTGAGTCTGTCCTTCGTGAACCACTTTTTATCAAGTGTATTTCTTTTCTCCACCACTAGGGGGCATTAAAGCCTCTCTTTCATCTAGAAAGTCTGTTCAAGGGAGACTGCCCTCCTGCACAATTAAATTCCTACACCAAACTCACAATGTGCTCAGATAATCCTCTTTTGCTTAATTTCTTAAAACTCCACACTGTATTTGTCCCCAGTTCTACCACTGACCCCATTACTGTCACATATACTCCATTAAAACAATGAGACAGAGAAACTCCCATCATCTGGACTCTCTGAAACATACTGTGGGAAGAAACTTGAATCGGCTTTCTCTCCTGTTATTATAATTAATACGAAATAAGTAATTTAGTTGCTCTGATGCTCATTGGCTGTCTGACAGCATAAGTTTGAAGTGTGAGTAAGAGACCTCACATATCTTTGTGGAAACTTTTAAATAAACGACTCAGACATGTGGTACTGAAAATTCCCAAAGAAGTTCATCAGGTGCTTTAATCAGGCACCATATGGACCCTACCCTATGTCATTCAGCTCCTTGACCTATTTAACTAAGGTTAAAGGTGACCCTATACTTCAATATGCAAATCATAAATTCAAGACGGCCATACTCCACACCACAAGTGGTTTGATGGTCAACTTGGTCTCCAAACCAACCTGTTATCTATCACCTGTTATCTCAGTGGTGTAAACAAGACTTACAGCCTGTGAGTGAAGTTATGTAGAAAATTCACCCTTTAACTGCTGCTGCACTCAGCACTTTAACTTTAGACTCATACTTTGCACAATGTAAAGGTTACAGGTATGATTGTGTGTGTGTGTGTGTGTGTGTGTGTGTGTGTGTATGAGTGTGTGATGGTAGTAATGCAAGTTTTATTTTATCTTCATTTTATTTTTTTGTATTTTATCTTATTGTATTTTATCTTATTGTATTCTATTTTATTTCATATTTATTTTATTTTATTTTATTCATTACATGTAAATGTTTGTCTGATACTGTGCACTGTGAGCTCCTGTAACCAAAACCAAACTCCTTGTATGCTTGATTCTGATTCTGATATGCAGGCCATTGTATGGCAACATTTTTCAGATTTACTATTATTGTGCTATCATCAACATTACATGTTAAAACTCAGGCACGTGTAAGTTCACTGGACATTTTGGATAGTAAATAAAATGGCTAATTTATGTTGGATGCATCGATTCCTGCTTCCTGTCACCACCATTGGAAAGACGGAGTAAGTTTCTCTAGAATGGAGCATTTCACACCAAACCACTCTGGATGTTAACATCTCTACATTTCCCCTTTAATTGATCACTGGGATGCATCTACAAATGTCATAAAAACTTTCACTCTGGCTCCTGTTTGGATGTATTTTGTGATTAAAAAGGGCATCTTTACCATCAACGTCTGGTCTTTTCAATACAATCTGTTTTGTAATTTTGCGTCTGTACGCGACCACAATGGATTTGAAATGAATCAAGGTGTGATTGAAGTGTAGACTTTCAGCTTTAATTCAAAGGGTTAAACAAAAACATTGCATCGTTTAGAAATTGCAGCCACTTTTTACATAGTCCCTCCATTTTCACAGGCTCCAAAGTAATTGGACAAACTAAAATAATTACAAATACAAGGATTCTTTTTTTACCACTTGGATGCAAATCCTTTGCATTTAATGACTGCTTGAAGTCTGAAACCCATGGACATCACCAATGCTGAGTTTTCTCCCTTGAGATGCTTTGCCAGGCGTTTACTGCAGCTGCCTTCAGTTGCTGCTTGTTTGTGAGTCTTTCTGCCTTCAGTTTTGTCTTCAGTAAGGGAAGAGCATGCTCAATTGGGTTGAGGTCAGGTGACTGACTCAGCCATTTAAGAACATCCCATTTCTTTGCAATAAGAAGCTCTTTGGGCTACTTTTGCAGTATATTTTGGTTCATTATCCATGTACTGTGAAGCACCATCCTATTAATTTTGCAGCACTTGGCTGAATCTGAGCAGGAAGTAGAGCTCTATACACTTCAGGATTCATCCTGCTACTTCTATCAGCAATCATATCATCAGTAAACACCAGTGACCCAGTTCCACTGGCAGCCATGCATGCCTATGCCATAACACTGCCTTCACCTTGTCTGACAGATGATGTGGTACACTTCAGATCTTTAGCCCTTCCTTTCCTTCTCCACACTCTTCTCTTCCCATCATTCTGGTACAATCTCGGTTTCATCCGTCCAAAGAATCTTGTTTCTGAACTGGGCAGGCTTTTTTAAGTGTTTTCTTTGGGTGTTTTTTCGAATTACGGGCTTTTCCAGTCATTTGTTTTGCACTTTTTCAAAATTTACCCCTAGAATATCCTTGACTAGATTAGATATTGTGAAGACCTTTTTGCTCAACACGGAAGGAATTCTGTGATCGTCCACTTTAGTTGTCTTACAGGGTCTTCCAGGCCTTTTGGTGTTGCTGAGCCTGCCAGTGCATTCCTTCTTTTTAAGAATGAAAGAAACTGTTGATTTGGCCACACTTAAAGTTACTGTTGTCTCTCTGATAGGGTTGTTTTGTTTTCCCAGCCTGATGTTGGCCCCTTTATTTGCAACGACACCTCTTTGGACCACATATTGAGAGTTCCCATGAACAGCTACCACATGCATTTTCAACTCTTGGAATCAGCTCCAAATCTTTTATCCCCTTAATCTGTCATGAAATAAACATGGAACAGGCCCCACTTGGCTATGAAACTGCTAATGCAATATTGTCAATAAACCCCTTCAATTAAAGTAAAGGATAAAACACATGTCAAAATGATATGAATGCCTATAAAAACAGCTGTACTTGTTCCATCTGTGTAAAGAAATGACTCCAGACAAGGACATCAGCCACCATGAACCAGCCATCCTTCATAAAACCTACATGAAAGGCCACATGCTCACTGTCAACGGCAGAGGACAATACAACTTGCAAAACCTCCTCTGGCTTTTTACATGGACAAGTCAACATACTATGTCACCACACACAGCGGCATTTTGAGGCATACTGTATAGAGGCACACATTCACATATATGCATACACATGCATATAAACATGTACATCATGTTTGCTGGTTGACATCAGGGAGAAAATTCTGATTCATGGTGAAACAAAAGCATACTGGGATGTTTGCAAATCCTGTCTTGCTAATGAAAGCAGCTGCACAGAATATTAAAGATTAAATAACACATTTTACCACCGATGTCACCAAATGGTGATGAGTTGTGAGCTTGCTAAGATTCAGAAGAGGGCTTTTAACATCTTCGGCGAGGTGCTGCACCCTGTCTTCTCAGGATGTGGTATCACAGTTACCTAGAAAAGCGTCATGTGAACATGAATCACAATGGCACTCAAGTGTTAGTGGTGTAAGAAGAGCTTTTAGTCTGATATGAGGCCAACTTTTTTCCATTTCTCTTAAAATGACCAATATAGGGCTTTTGTTATGCTGTACTGCTCCCACACTGCTGTAAGAGTCATTTATACCCAGCACTGCATGTGCAGTATTCAAGGCCTCTCATATTTAGTGCAATATATC